TGAAGGTGAGCAGGAGAATACAATTGCTCTTTCAAGCTGATCTTTGGTATCATACATCCACAACAGCATGCCCCGTACCATCCGCGTGCTCATCCTGCAGAAGCTTTGCTTGTAATGGGCTCGCCATTGCAAAGGTGGGTACACAAAGTACTCCTCCTCCTCCTCCTCCTCCTTCTCCTCTTTCTCAGCCTTTACGATTTGTTCAGATGCCTGTCATCACCTGTAGCTTGTTGCTCAGCCCGCATGCTTTTCTTTGCTGCTCCTCCTCGCTCCTCCCTCCCTCCTAGACTCACTCCTCTCCTCCCCTGTCTCTCTCAACGCTGCTGCTCTTCGTCTCCTTCTCGGCCCCGCTCGCCTTACCAAGGGTGAGGAACGTTGGGCTTGGCCATTCTATCCATCACCTTGTCAACTTTGACACATCGCTCATACAGTACCGCGGGCCTGAGAGAGTTTCAAGCTGGTTTCAAGTCAGCGCCATCGGCTACTCGGCGATGGCACCGTGCCAGTGAGACGGCACGGTGAACGTCCGACGGCGCAGGTTGCAGACGTGTCATCATGACGGAACACCGCCGGGCGAGCACTCAATACCTTGCAGTGCGGTATGAGGGTCAATCTGAGCTTGGCGAGTCACGGTGCCGCCCCCTGTCTGAGTGCCAGCTTGACCGTAGCTATGATGCCGGGACGAACGTGGAAGATGAACAGTCTTGAAGGCTTACACGCTTCATGAGTGTGTAGCTGAGCCTCACCTGGAGTGCAATGACCCTTCAGCTGGACCGGGCCCAAGTAGTCTTGTCGTGCGATCAAGAGCACTTGAATCTTGACATGTATGCAAATGATGATGACAGCAATGTCATATGTGCCATGACATGCCAAACGAGATCAGGTGAAGAGAGAAACTCTCTTGCAATTCCTTGGATTTGACCTTCAAACAGTGCTTCAATGTGATCAAGGCGTGTGCAATTGTTGTGATGAGAACACAAGGAAGTTATGGGCGTGATCATCTATAAACCGACGATCAAATAATAGATCCCCCCGAATGTCTGACGAACGAGAAGGAATGTATCGAAATCAGATCCCCGTCTGATTCCAATCAGAAGCGGAGGAATGGCTGGAGATCTGCAGCGGCAGCAGAACATGGCGGGGAGGGTCATGAATCTGAGAGGTCATTGATTTCTAGATGAAACACTTACTAGGATGTTCATTCTTGCTAGGATATGATCCATCTTACTGAGACTCTCGTTG